ATGCCGCCTTGGCCGCCTCGCGACCCAAACAGGTTAGTGCGGTCGTGTCGTCTGGCGTCGGAGGGGCTCGACGTAACACACCACGTTGTTTGGTCGGTCAGTGAGCCAAGGATTTCAGCGAAGGAATTCGGTGTATGTGTGCTCCACTGTCCCGCAGTCGGGCAGCTGTGGCGTCAGCACAACGCGCTCGTTGGCTGACCAAACGACGTGATGTATACCCTGACAACCGCCGACAGGGTTCCAGAGCTCCCGACCCCTTGCCCGGGGGTGTTTTTTCTGCCCTGATCCACTTCTGATGGCCCCGGGACCCAAAACGGCCCCCAGAGGCCGAGACGAAGGAGCAACCGCCGGGACTGAAAACACCATGTCGTCGGAGAATTGGGTACACGTCGAACCCATCCATCCTGGGTCTGAGCAGGGCGGCTCCATGGCGTTCGCAGGCAGCCTGAGCCAGGTCATCAGGGGCAACGTTAGGGGGGACAGGCACAGGGGGGCGATGCATCGACCCCAATCGCCCCTTCGTCGCCGACAGGGGCACGCTAACCAACCCCACTCAGGAACATGTGGGTTCGCAATCGGAAACCTGTCGCCGATCTTCTGGGCCTCCTAGATGGGGTCGGAGTAGATGGGGTCGGAGGATCGTGCCTCATCGCCGACGCGTTGGCGATGCGGCTCGATGTAGAGCTCGATTTTCTCCACGCCGGCGTCTCCGATGGCTCAAGCTTTGGCTCAAGAGCAATGTGGCTCAAGATCAACCATAGTTCAAGCATGTTCCACAGACTGTACAATCCCAGATTCAATTACCTTCCACCCCGTACTTCCTGATCTATAATTATGCTTGCGTGTTCTCATGGAAATATATTTCGCAAGCTATATCGTCTCCGCCTACGTCAAAGCACACTCGCATGGCCGGCACCTCCGTCAAGGTCGCTCTTCAGCCCCTCGCGGGGAGAGCGAAGCAGCACAGGATCCATAGTCCGCTACATGAGATGGACGGGCTCTCCGACGAGACCTACCCCGATCCATCATCTCTACTCAACGCCAATTTCAGTGCAAGTTGGCGGCCGCAGCGGGGTTGATCAAAGAAAACTTGGACTAGGAGGCAATGCCACTTCGGTGGCACCAGCAGGTATAGATACAGTTGCAGATGCGGAAATGCTCACAGTGGGACAATTCAAAGAGATATTGTTGCAATCGATTCAAAACGATATCCGGGCGATGGCGCAAGATCCGCGCGCAGCATGGGCAACACCATGAAGGCGAATATCAGCAAATTCGAAGACCATCGGCAAGTTCGAACAACGTCATCTTTTTTTCCAGATCGGTAACAAGGACACCCGGGACAGGTTCATTAACACCGTTTGGAAAACGCAGATCGCCCACAGTAGAACTACTTCTGGATTCGGGCTGACCAACCTATTGAGAAGCGGGTCCTGGAACATTTTCGATTTGGTCCACGAAAGCAGTTTCTGGGAGGGGGATACTCAAAAGGAGAGGTGCGTGTTGACACCGACAGCTGCACGATAACAGTTGCCAAAGGGCCAGCGGCAAAAATGAGAAGCGTGAGCATTGCTTGCCCTACGCATCTCGAGGGAAGGAGCTTTGAAGCAATGGGGGGAGTGCACGAAAGGTCCTGGAGTTGAACGCCTTCTCATACGTGCCAGCGACATGCTCGGCCGGGCGAGCAAAGGGAAAGGGAATAACGGGGGTGCGGCTAACCATTAGAGGTCAGCGCGGTGCACCGGATTCACAGGGAGTGCTCGCATAGTCGAATGGGTCACGTACCCATGGTGGCATATGTAGTGTGGCAGGATTGCCACGTGGAGTGTCAAAGGCACCACTCAAAGCAGTCCACGCTAACTTCCAACGGCATCATTAAACACGTGCGGGTGTGGAACATCGCATTTCTTTGTCTTTAAAGTCTAAGAGACGCGCGGCTGCGGGTCCGAAGTCTACGAATGCGATTTGTTCTCTTGGTCGGGATCAGAGGGTCATCGAAGAGAGTCTGGCGGTCTAGGCTTTATCGTTGCACCGTGGGCACAGCGATCAATCGAAGGGTATTTGCCATGCACCGATCGTATGGCGAGTTTTGCGCGTACGGGTTGACAGGTGGTTTCCTTGCAGTGCTAACAGTTTACGCTTTGACAAACACTCGCGACTACGACGTCCGCCTCGACTTTTACACAGAGTTGGGGCAGGGATTCGTGCGCTGCTGGCCCCATGGGCCAGCGCTGTTGCTTGGCAATCTTAGCGCCAGATTGTTGCGACGTTCTGGGGGGGGGGGGGGGGGGGGGGGGGAGGAGATTCTGGGCGCGCGCGCGCATCGCAATGACAGAAGCAAGTGGGGCCCAATGTCAAATAGAGAACTGCTGATTTAACATTTCATTGCTACAGATGTGCGTGGCGAGCGCGTTTTTTCGATGTGCCAGTGGACGCAGAAGAGACCGACTACGACGTAGGTGCGACACCCATGATGGGGGCTTTTTTTTGGGGGAAAAACAAGCAGGTGCTTTCGACCACTTGGATCATGTTCTCGCTGATCTCCGACGGTTGCCGAACGGGCGAGATATCTGGTCAGGCCGGCATAGCGCGCTTCTGTCACATCATATTCTATGTGCTGTGGATTTGAGCATCGGCAGGCGCGTCGCCGACTGCTCGTCGCGCCCGCGTCGACTCGGTGGGAAAGCGTTGCGACGCGACCCCGCAGCGGCGCACTGCGTGGGGGTCTTCATTCGCACATGGGAAAACAACCGAGCGATGGCTTGCAATGTGCAGCGCTCATCATTCCATAATGCTGGAGTCTGGAACGCCGCGCCGTCCTCGGATATCCTCTGCGGGTGTTATTCTGAATTGGCGGCCGGAATGTAGCAGCGCCCGCGGGGGGCCAAGCGCGCGAAGTTTTTTGGATGGGCGTGAGCAGGTAGCCGCGCGCGTTGACAAGTATACGTGGCTCGACGGTTCGACCCCGCTCGGCGCGTGGGACGCGATTCGCTCGCTCAGGAACGCCGGCGCCTCGCCCAGGGCGTCTCCGAGGCGCGCGCGGGGATCTTGTGGGCGCCGACCAGAACGCTGAGATCGTGGCAGACTATTTGGAAGACGTTCAGTAAAAGTGACGCGTCGGGCCAGGAGCACCCCCGGAAGTGCGACAGCGCGGCCCCTTCCGACATCGACGAGGAACGCGTTGCACTCGGAGAAGTTCGCAGGGCAGCCAGAGCAGCGCATGTCCAGGAAGCAGCGGGGAACGATGATGCGCCGCCAGACCTCTTGGGAAATTCCGCGGCCAAGCGGCGCAGCTTTGGAATTGCTCCGGGAGCTGTGCGACGGGTGCTGGCAGCCAGAGGAAGTGCGCGACGAGTAGTAGGGGCGTTTTTTTGTCGCAGTATTCGAGAAGGGCGACGCGTCGCAACCCGGCAATAATGGGCCAATTGCTCTGCTGGCCGTCGGCCACTCGGTACTCGAAAGCATTGTTCTGCGCAGGCTCAAACTAGGAGGGGTCGGGGGTCGTCTCCGTGATCTGAATAGCTTCAGGCCAGCCGTCGCGATTCGGGCGGCGTTCCTGGCGCGTCGCCTCTTTGGTGCGGCACTGGGGGATAGAGGTGGAGAACTTGCGTTGCCGCCTCTGGATCGGTCCAGAGCGTACGACTGTGTCGAAACGGATGGTTTAATTTACGCTCTACGGCAGTTTGGGATTCATTACGATGCGATTCGCGTGATCAGCGGGGCCTTCGCCGCCCCGGAGTTCGTCGCGAGAGGTGGGGGCGTAGAGTCGTCGCAGAGGCCCCGGAAAGCAGGGGTCGCTCATGGGCGTTTTCGGTCGCCGTATTTGTTCGCGATCGCCGCGTCGGTCCCGCTGTGGTGGGCGGGCGAGGGAATCATTTTCAACGACCAGTCGGCGCCCGAGAAGCCGCGCCTCATCACGAGGTGAGTACTTCTCGCTGACGACGCGCTCTCGGTCGGCATCGGAAGCTCCACGTGTTCCTTCGGCAGTATTTTGACGCGTTGTAGACTTTCGCAGTGCGTTCGGTCTGGGGCTCATGGCCGGCAGAACCACATTGCCTATCATTGGGCGCTCGTCCGCAATGCTTGGGCCGGGGGGGCGAAACGATTCGACGCCGCGGCAGTGCCGTTTGGTTGGCCCCCTGTCTGAGCGCCGGCGGAAACCCTGGGACAGGGTTGACAAGACGTCTTGGTGAAGCGAATAGGGGCTTTCCAAACGCTCGGCGCTGTTTGGAACCGTGCGAGAGTAACTCGCCAACATGCTTGAAACTTGTACTGTTTCAGTGCTTGCGTGCGGACTTGGATCTTGCATGTTGCTTGCCGCTGACCAGGAAAGCTCGATGGCCTTCGGGCCAGGTGACATATCCGCGCAATGCCGCCGGCCTTTATTTCGAGGGCAAGTCATGCTGAAGTTCGAGATGTGAGTCAAATTGGGCGCCTGCCGACGACCGGGCGGCAAAGACCATTCGGGCGTCGGAAAGAATTCGCCCGATATCAGCCGCGCACGTTGCCTAGTCAAATGGTTCTCCAAAAAGGCCGAGCGCGCGATAATGTTCTCAGTAGGTGGAACGCGCGCTGCAGACGAGGGCGACCCAGAGTGCAGCGGGGCCAGTATCAGTGCGTCTGCGCCAAGAAAGTGGCGGGGGGCCGATCCCGATCGTCTGCGCGATTTTATGAATGGCCCGCCTGCGCGCTGGGGAGTTGCCGTAAGCCAGTGTTGCTGATACGTTTAGTTCAGTGTCCTCTTCTCGTCGTTGCCGCCTCCCCGCCTCTTTTCCTTCCCCCCCGGCTCCCCAGCTTGGCGCCCATTTTTCTGATGTGACGTCGACCGCCGTCCACCAGCGCACTTGCACTCAGCCGTCATGTTGTTCCGCGTGAGTTTTGATGGCGTTTGCTATTATACGCATTTTTCACGATGCGCCGTCAAGGCGTGCCCTCGTCTGTCTGTCTGTCTGTCTGTCTGTCTGGCGTCGCCGATGCAACGTCGAAGTCGCCGATGTTTCCTTCTTTCCCGTTTTACCAGAAATCAGGTTTCGGCATGTTTCTGCTTGTATCTTGTCCCCCCAGGCCAAGGCCTACTAGGTGCGTTTGCGAGCTGCACGTCGGCACGCGTTGTGTTCCTGGTTCGCCTGAGGTGTTGCAGTTTCACTTGAAGCCTTGTGTTACAAAAGAAATGCAAAAACTATGCGGGCCCCGCTTGGGAGACCTCTACGGTCGATGCTTCCCCCCCAAGCCGGGTGTTGCCAAAAGTGCCTTTGGCCCGCAGTTCCCGGCCTCCAGGGCACCCCTCGCGAGGCCCAAAGGGCCCCATGGGGTTCCAAATGGAGCGAAAAGCTGGGGGGCCTTTTTGGCCCAGGGGTATTTTTAGCACTTTCCCGACTTGAACCCCCGACGTCGTGATTTTTGTTGGTAGCGTCGCCCCCCAGAAGTCTCGACACAGTCTCCGGGACCGGCTCTTCATCCCAAGTCGTTTTCTAGCGGTCTTCAAGTCTGGTAGGGCCCCCCAGAAACCGAAAATTGCTATACACTTTCCGCCGTGGCCAGTGGCGCCATTACCTTCTACACTCCCCCACCCGAGCCGGTCCCCAGCCCATATGCGCTCCGCCCCCATCATTCGGCGGCAAGCGAGGGGGGAAGTGGGACGGAGGAGGCCCTCGCAGACTGCGGCGGGCGTTTTCTGAACCCCCCACGCCTGCTGAAAAGGTATTCTCCTTGAGATCTGACGCTCCGGCAAAAAAGTGCGCGCGGTTTTTGGCAGTTTTCGGCTTCCAGGCCCCCCCCCGGGCCTCGGGAGCGTCAAAAACGATTCACGACGAAAAACCGGGCCTGGGGAAGTGGAATGGACTTCCGGGGCCCGCGCACCAACAAAAATTAGAGCAGCCATATGTCTGCCGTGCTTTCGTGGGAGGCCTAGGACAACTTCTCGGAAGGCCAGAGGATTTCCGAACCTTCTGAGAAGAGACGCTGCTTCTCGGTTCCCCCCGAATTCGCCGCCGATCCTCCTGCTCCGCGGAAATCGCGGCGAAGCCGAATGCTCGCCTCCCGAAGCGCCCCCACCCCCCACACCAGGGTGTGCCCCTGCGGAAATGCTTCGTGGGCGAAGCCGGGCGCTTCTGAGAAGGCGCCGCCAGCTCACAGGTGCGGGCGGCGCTCGCCGAGGAGCGGGCACGGCTTTGCAAGGTCTTCGGCCAGATCGACGAGGCCCTCGAGCGTCTCGAGCCCGGCACGTACGAGCAGGTCAGGGAGGAGGAGGCGGAGGATGAGGAGGAGGAGGAGGCGGAAGAGGAGGAGGAGGAGGGAGGGGGGAGGAGGAGGAGGAGGAGGAGGAGGAGGAGAGGAGGAGGAGGAGGAGGAGGAGGAGGAGGAGGAGGAGGAGGAGGAGGAAGAGGAGGAGGAGGAGGAGGAGGAGGAGGAGGAGTAGGAGGCGGAGGAGGAGGAGGGACAGGAGGAGGAGGAACAGGAGGAGGACGGCGGCGAGTGGCAGGTGGGCGCCCAGCCGATTGACGTCTACGCGCCTGGGGCGATCGCCCCCGCTCCATCAGTGCGCCCTTCCAGCGCGGCTCCAGATGGCCGCCAGGCTGCGAGCACTGGCCACCTGGAGGACAAGGAGGAGGAGGAGGAGGAGGAGGAGGAGGAGGAGTATGGAGGAGCGGAGCAGGAAGGGATGATGATGATGATGATGATGATGATGATGATGATGATGATGATGATGATGATGATGATGATGATGATGATGACGATGATGATGATGATGATGATGATGATGATGATGATGATGATGATGATGATGATGATCATGATGATGCTGCTGGTGATGATGATGGCGATGGTGGTGGTGCTGATGCTGATGATGATGATGATGCTGACGATGATGATGATGATGATGATGATGATGATGATGATGATGATGCTGATGATGATGATGATGATAATGATGATGCTGTTGATGATGCTGATGATGATGGTGCCAACGGTGACGACGATGATTATGATGCTGATGATGCTGATTGTGATGATGTTGGTGATGGTGACTGTGATGGTGATGATGATTTTGATGATGCTGATGGTGGTGATGATGATGCTGATGTTGATGCTGCTGATGCTGATGATGATGATGCTGATGCTGATGCTGATGCTGATGATGATGCTGCTGATGCTGATGATGATGCTGCTGCTGCTGATGATGATGATGATGATGATGATGATGATGATGATGATGATGACGCTGCTGTTGCTCCTGCTGATGATGATGATTAGGAGGAGTAGGAGGAGGAGGGAGAGCAGGAGAAGGAGGAGGCGAAGGAGGAGGAAGAGGAGGAGGAGGAGGAGGAGGAAAAGGAAGAGGCGGAGGAGGAGGGAGGAGCGGAGCGGGAAGGGATGATGTTGGTGATAATGAGGGTCATGGTGATGTTGCTGATGATGATGATGATGATGATGATGATGATGATGATGATGATGATGATGATGATGATGATGGTGATCATGATCATGATCATGATGCTGATGATGATGCTGCTGCTGATGATGTTGATTATGATAATGCTGCTGCTGATGATGATGATGATGCTGATGCTGATGCTGCTGCTGATGATGATGCTGAATCAGAAGAATACGAATAATAATAGCAATGCTAAGAAGAAGAACGCGACGAACCCTAATAATAATGTCAATGATAATAAAACGAATCATACTAATAATATAGTCAAATTAATGGTAGTAGTAAGAAGAATACGAATACACATAATACTAATACCCATGATAAGAAGAATAAGAAGAAGACGACTAATAATAAGAATACTAATAATAATAAGAAGAAGACGAATAAGAGGAGGAGGAGGTGGAGAAGGAGGGAGGGGGGGAGGGAGGAAGGGAGGGGGGGAGGGGGGGGGTACGGGCTACCACAACCACATGCCAGACAAGGGGTGGGGACACGGCGGCGCGCCGCCCCCACCCGTCCTCCTCCTTCCTTCTCCTCAGACCCCACCCTCCTCATTGTCATTTTCCTCTTGCGGTTTCCGGGATCCCTGGTCGCGTGGGTTTCGGATTCCCTGGCCCTTGACACTTTTCAGAATTATGAAAGTTCAGGATTTCCAGAGAGTGTTCCAACTGGTTTGGACGTTTCCTGTCTGCCTGGGTTCCGGATTTCCCAGCCTGAGTATTTTCTGAGATGTTCAATGGGTTTGGAATGTCAGATGTTTTGATCTATATTTCGAGATATATACTTATATATATAGATGTGTGTACATATATATATATATGTATATATATATATATGGACGTTTCAAAATTCTGGCTGCTTGGGATTTTCGGAATTCCTTCTTGGTTTCCCGATGTTCCAGCCCCTGGGATCTTTGTGGACATTTTCGAAATGTTTGAAACGTTTATTCGGTCTGGGTTTTGTGTTTAAATGATTTGGAGGATTTTTTGTAGTTTTAAGTTTCTGGTGGTTTGTGGTTTTCGCGATACTTCGTTGCTTGGGTTTCGGATTCCTTGCCCCTCTCTTTTTTTATTCAAACAAAGATGATTGAGATGTTCAACCAGTCCGTCTTTTCAAATTCAATTTTTTGATGTCACAATTTTGGTGGCTTGGATTCCTGTTCGCCAATATTGCGAACTCGCTGGGCCCGGTTCATAGTCACCTTCTGCTCTTCCTCTTCCTCCTCCACCTTCCACCTCCCCCCCCTTGGTGCACCTGAACAGCCTCCTGGGACCTCCTGGGGTTCCTTCCAGTTTCCCGTTTATATCCTCCGTCCATTCAAAATTTCTGGAGTGTTCATGTGTTTGGAGGCTTCGGAATTCCTGGTCGTGTGGATCCTGCGAGGACTCTAAAAGACCTTCACACTTACCCCAAGGAGGCCACCGAGGGCATCCGCGACAAAATCAAATTAGTTGCAGGTGCTCGGGGGGGCCTCCTTGGGGTCGTCTTGGAGCACTCTCGGGCTTTCTTGGGTCCCACTCCTGGGGCTACCTTGGAGTAATGCGAGTGCTCTGCGAAGGCTCCAGGGAGCCTCCACAATTGCTTCCAAGAGGCACCCAGAGCACCCGCAACAGCAATGATTTTGTTGCGGGTGATCTGGGTAGCTTGTTGTGGCTCTCTTGAGCCCTCTTGGAGCCCTCGTGGGCTACTCCTGCGGGATTCTCCCAGAGCATCAAGAGGACACCGCGAGGGCCCCAGGAACATTCCACGAGGACCTAAAGAGGCCCCCCGCCCAGAGCATCCGCAACAAACTCAATTATGTTGCGAGTGCCCTGGAGGCTTTCTTGGGCTCGTCTTGGAGCTCCCTTGGGTCCCCACTCGGGCTCTCCCAGAGCGTTGTTAGAGGGAATCCCCCGACGGCCCCAAGATAGCCCCCTACAGGAATTCAGCGATGCACCTGGACACCCGCAAAGCATGACATCTGCTGCTGGTGCTCTTGGGTGGCTTCTTGGGTCCTGTCAGAATCATGACTCGGCTTAGTATTGGGCCCCCACAGATGGCACAGTAGAACGTCGTCGAGATTTGCGTTGTGCTCGTCGCCAGCCGTGTGTCCCGACAGCGAGTACTGGAGGCGGAGAAGCAGGAGGAGGAGGGCGGAGGAGCAGGAGGAGGAGGGCGGAGAAGCAGGAGGAGGAGGGCGGAGGAGCAGGAGGAGGAGGCGGATGAGGTGGAGGTGGAGAAGGAGGAGGAGGAGGAGGTGGAGGAGGAGGAGGAGGAGGAGGAGGAGGACAGTCAGGGAAGAGTCTGGTCCTGGACGGCCTCGACCGGGGTGCTGGGTCCTGCCGAGGACCTCGGCAGGACCCGGGAGGCCATCGGGAAGGTGCTTCCGAGAAGCTGTTTTTGTTGGGTGGGATTCGTTGATTACGATAAGCATTGATCGAAGGAGGAGGAGGAGGAGGAGGAGGAGGAGGAGGAGGAGGAGGAAGAAAAGGCGGAGCAGGAGATTGAGGAGGAGGAGGAGGAGGAGGAGGAGGAGGAGGAGGAGCAGGAGGAGGAGGAGGAGGAGGAGGAGGAGGAGGAGGAGCTAAAAGCGTTTTTCGAAGGTCGATGGGATCGTGACTGGCCTGTTCCGCCCTTGTTTGGCCGCCTGGACCCCGAAGCAAACGGCCGTTTGTTTCCTGGAGTCGAAGCAGTCGAGGGTGCTGGCGTGGATGCTGACGCTCAGGAGGCTACCACGTGAGGAAACCAGGACCACCTTCAGTAGGCGTGCGCGCAGGATTCGGGGGCTGTTGCAGGTTCAGTGGGCTTGGATTTTCCTTCAGTCTGCTCTCTCTTAGTTGTCCCACCTCCAGAGACACCGGGATACCTCATTATATACATATTTTCAGGAACAGGGAGCGGACTGTGTAGCCAGCCAGCGCCGCCAATGCATGTCCCAAAACAGCTGTAGCAGTAAGACTTTCACTCGCAGTGCGAGGGGCAGGGTGATTCGCTGGGACAACGGGTGGGCTAAGACGTTCGACCCCGGTGGCTCCAGAGATCCCCAGGCCTTGCATGCCTTTCCCTCCGCCTTCTGTCTCACGTCGGTGTCAAGGATAAGGCTGCTGCTAAGCTTCCATCCGTCACTCTCGTGGGGCAGTCAGGGATCCGCTTTGGGGAGCGCCTCACTCACACTCACTCCTCCTCCTCCTCCTCCTCCTCTCCTTCCTCGTCGTCGTGCAGAGTCCGTGAGCTCTTCGTTCGGGGGCTTTTCCCAGACCGGTCCTACTGGTTCCTCGCTGGGCCCTCGACCTTGCCTCCTGCTATTCTCATCGTCGCACCTGGCCCCAGGAAGTCTTATTTCTAGGACACGGCTGGCACGAACTTTCGGATGGGTCGGCTGTTGATGGTTACCTCTTCGTCATTCGGTTCCTCGTAGTGTCAGGGCAATCTTGCGACAGGATGACATCTGAATGGAGTTCGTAGCAACATCGATTTGAAGGTCTTAGGATGAAGAGTGTCTTTTGGAGGCAAACTAGCCTCAAAGCTAAACTCAAACAGCTCTATTAATATTCTGATTCAACTCGTACTCAACTCTGGCTTGGAACTCTGATTCACCTATCTGGTTTAGCTGAAGCTCTGATTTAGTTCTGGTCTGATCTCTGATTTAACTCTGATTCGGCTCTGGCTGGAGACAGAGCTGAATCAGAGTTTAATCAGAGTTCCAGACCATAGCTACATCAGAGTTTCAAATAACACAGATAGATGAATCACAGTTTCAGGCCTGACCAAAATAGAGTTTCAGCCAAACCACTGATGAATCAGAGTTTCAGGCCGGAGCCCAAACAGAGCTGAAACAGTCCCGGGCGGAGGGCGCGGGGCGCGCTGCGCAAGTGCGCGTGTCTTCCTGCAAACGAAGGAGGGCCTCGCCGCAGGATGGGGGGATTCCCCCCATCCTGCTGCGAGGCCCTCCTTTCCCCCATCTTCTACCGTTTCCTGTCTCCTTGCCCATCCTCCCTCCTCCCATCGCGCTCTTTCCTACCTCGTCTATCCCTTGCTCCTTCCCCCGCTTCCCTCTCCCTCCTTTTCCCTCCTCCCACGTTCGCGTTCCTCTTCCCCCTCCCCCCTCCCCTCCTCCTCAGTTTGTCTCCTCCCTCCTCCCCTTTTATCCCCTTCCTTGTCATCCACCTTCCCTCCTCCTCCTCTTCCTCCCCCCTCAGCCTCCCTAGTCCCGCCTCCTTCTTCCTCGGTCGCCGTCGCCCTCCACGCGCTGTCCCTCCTCTGCCCTGGGCCCCCACTACTCCCTTCGTCCTTTTGTCTCTCTTCCTCGTCCTCACCGTGTTGGTTCCCTTCTCCCTGGATGTGGGTGCCAGTGCCACGACGTGTGCACGGCTCTCACTTTAAAAAACGGCGGGATTAAGGTTTCGTCCCTCAGAATCCAAGCTTTGCTGAATTTTTTTGTCGCGTCGAGGCTAAGCTGACGAGGGATTCCATGAGCTAGTCAGTCAGTCAGTCTCCCCCTCCCCCTCCTCCGTATCGAGCGTCCGTCGTCGCTCCTCGGCCTCAGAGTGTCCCGCCCTCGTGTTCGCCCTCGCTTCCCCCGTCGCTCCGGGCCCCGCGCCCGACCTCGTCTCCGCCCTCGCCCCCGCGCCCGCCCTCGCCCCCGCCCGCAGACAGTTCCACTTCGGCCCTCTTTCTCGCCCTCGCCTTCGATCCCGTCCTTACTCTTTTACCGTCCTTCCCGCCCTCGTTCCCGCCCTCGTTCCCGCCCTCCTTCCAACCTTCGTTCCCGCCTTTGTTTTCCGCTTCGCTCCCGCCGTCGCTCCCGCCGTCGCTCCCGCCGTCGCTCCCGCCCTCGTTCTCGCCCTCGCTCCCGCCCTCGCTCCCGCCCTTGTTCTCGTCCTCGTTCGCGCCCTCGCTCCCGCCCTCGTTCCCGTCCTTGTTCCCGCCGTCGTTTTCGCCCTCGTTCCCGCCTTCGTTCCCGTCTTCGTTCCCGCCTCCGTTCCCATCCTCGTTCTCGCCTTCGTTACCGCTTTCGTTCCCGCCCCCATTCTCGCCTTTGTTCTCGCCCTCGTTCCGGGGCCTCCCGGAGGCCGCCCAGGGAACCCAACGACCGCCCGGGGAAATCAGACTTGAAACAGAGTTTCGGCTAGACCTCAAACATGTTTGAAGTATAATTGAAGCCTGCAGACTTCATATGGACCTTCAACAGACCTCAAACAGACCTGAATCAGAGTTTGGCCCCAAACAGACTTCAAGCATACTTCAAACATCTTTCAAACAGACCTCAAACATACCTCAAACATACCTCAAACAGACTTCAAACAGACCTCCCAGAGGTTCCCCAGAGGTTCCCTGGAGGTCCCCCGAAGGCGCCTAAGGAATTCCCGAGGCGCCCGAGGGAATCCCGGAGGCGCCCAGAGGCGGCCCCCCCCCTCATTCCCGCCCTCGCTCCCGCCCTCGTTCCCTCGTTCTCGCCCTCGTTCTTGCCCTCGTTCTTGCCCTCGTTCTCGCCCTCGTTCCCGCCTTCGTTCCCGCCTTCGTTCCCGCCTTCATTCTCGCCATCCTTACCGCTCTCGTTCCCGCGCTCGTTCTCGCCTTCGTTCTCTCCCTCATTTTCGCCATCACTCCCACCGTCGCTCCCGCCGTCGTTCCCGCCGTCTTTCCCGCCCTTGTTCTCGCCCTTGTTCCCGCCCTCGCTCCCGCCCTCGTTCCCGCCCTCGTTCCCGCCCTCGTTCTCGCCCTCGTTCTCGCCCTCGCTCCCGCCCTCGTTCCCGCCCTCTTTATCTCCGTCGTTTTCGCCCTTGCTTGTTCCCGCCTTCGTCCCCGCCTTCGTTCCCGCCCTTGTTCTCGCCCTCATTCCCGCCCTCGTTCCCGCCTTCATTCCCGCCTTCGTTCTCGCCTTCGTTCTCGCCCATCGCCCCCGCCCCCGTTCCTGCCCCAGTTCCTGCCCTCGCATTAGCGTTCTTTCTCGCCATCGTTCCTGCCCTTGCCTCTTGTCCCCGCCTTCGTTCTGGGCGCCTCCCAGGGCGCCTCCCGCGCCTCCGAACTTTCCGAAAAATGCAGCGCTTCTCCTCTGCGCGCCCTGCCCCCGACCTGTCCCGGGCGGGCGGCGGGGATTGGGGCGGCCACCGCAATGCGCGCCCTGTCGCGGCGCGGCAGCCTGCGGCCCTGAGGAGCGAGCCTCGGAGCCACGGGTGAGCATTTTTTCGCCCCAGCTGCCGTTGAACACTTCTGGGCAGGGCCGCGCAGGCGGGGGGCGATGCCCCGCGCCCCCCGCGCAGGCCTCAGCCTGAGCGTTGCCGAAGGGCGGCGTGCGCAGGCGGGCCCGGCTCACAGCATTTGGCAGCTGGCGGCTGGGCCCCCAGCCATGACCTGCCGCTTGGCTTGCGCATTCCTTCTGATATTCTTGAAAACGCATGCGCGCGGGGCCGACCCAGCAGCGTTCTGGGCCGACGCCGCGACATTTTTCGGCGGGTCCACACCGAACCCGGATCGTACTTACTTTACAGTTCTCATTCAGACCTAAATCAGACTTGGGCCTTAGGGCCAGCGTGAATTCAGAGTTCCAGTCAGACCTAAATCGGATTTGGCTCTGAGGGCTTGACTTGAATCAGAGTTCCAGCGCAGATATGAATCAGATATTCGTCAAAGTTTTGGGCCTGAACAGAGAAACAGAGTTTGCCCCTGGAAGGCGCGCTCGATCTTGGGATTTCCTTGTAGAGGTCGGAAAGCAGACTGCGGTGGCGTTGCGCCGTTTTCCATTGTTCATCGCCGCGCGGGCACGGTTTGCGCCGCTGGGGGCGCGCGCGCGTCGCATCTCGATCGCTGAATTCTGCGTGTTACTTATTTTTTCCGGGCTTGGTTTGGGCTTGCGACTCTAGAGGTCGCGCGATCCGTTCGATCTTGCGCTGCGAGGCGGCGGGCGCGCGTTCGCCGCCAGTTTCGCCCAGCTAATTTTCTTGCGCGTGGGAGGACAAAGACGCTCGGCCAAGGGCTCGCCGCGCTGTGGCCTTGTTTTGTACCTTCTGGCGGGTAGCCTTCGTTGCCGGAGCCCCGCCCCTCCCGGGTAACGGTGGCGATCGCGCCTGGGGGGGGGGCTTGGGCCGTCCCCCGACATGCAGGTGCCCGAAAGCACGTCGTGCTGCCCACAGGTATATCACGACGAACAGCACCCCGCCCCGACGGACCCCACCCCGCCCAAGCGTTACTCGCCAGTCGTTAGCAGCGGCGGGTATTTTGGGGGCCCAAAACCCAATCCATTCTTGGCGCCTTTCTACTTCAAGAACCGAGCGGTTGTGCTTTTCCCCTCCTATGCAGGGGGCGGGCGGAAGTTCGATCTTTTTGCGACGCCTTCCTACTTCAACTTTGTACCCAATTCTTCCGACCGGTGGGTGCCGCTACCCGCCCCCCCCCAGGGGAACGACTGTTATTCTTGTTATCCACCGAAGCGAACAACGATCTCTATGTGTAGGCCATTCTGGACCCACGACGACGCGGGGTTTCGTGCAAAACTGGCTGCACTTGGCCGCCGCGGGTGCCTGGCGCGATGCTCGCCGGATTTCGCGCGCATTGCATTTTCGTGATTCAAAACTAGATCTGGTTTCTTTCTTCGTTGTCTTATTGCTCGCCCTCTTGTGCTCCTCGCCGCCTCCGCCCCCCCGCGTCCCCAGCCCCCCCCTGCTCCCCCCCCCCCACCTTTGAGGCGATCGCAAACATGGATCAATGGGGGCGTGGTTCAGCGACGGGTCCCGTTTCCATGGGATATCGCGGACCTCCGCCGTCGAACGAGGCGGCACGGGCCGCATTTTGGGCAGGGCGCCTCCCCCGACCCATGGATTTGGCGACCGCGCGCCACATCCATGGATCGCTGCCCTCCAGAGGTCCAAGACTCGGATCGGGCCGCCTGATGTCGGCTACGGGCAAGCACGGCCGCTGTTGCCGCGCCGCATTCAGCAATCGGGGGACCCCAGTGGACGTGCACCAAGGGCCACCCCACTAGGCCTGCACAAGGGGCAACCATGATGGGCCAGTTTTCCACCACCACTGACACAGGCAGGACGGGAGAGAAGGGAGGATGAGGAGGTCCTCCTCCCCCTCCTTCTCCTCCTTCTCCCCCCCTTTCCTGCCTGTGGTGGTGGTGGTGGAAAATGGGCCCATCGAGCCATGGATCGCTGATCCGTGTTTGTGCGCCCTCGAACCCTGCTCGCGCGAGAGTCGTTGGAGGGTGGAAATTGCGCGGCGTTCTGGGCGTGCGTCCTCGGCCAGCCCTCCTCGGGGTCGCCCTCGGGCCTGGGCGGGTCCCTCCCGCAGCCCCTCCACCCCGGGCATCGCCGCCGATGCTCTGCCCCGAAGGCCCCGACGCGCTGCGCCGTCGTCACCTGCTTTCGCCCATGCCTGCTGCCGTCAAGCCATTGTTACCTCTCTCCCTGTTTCTTGTCTTTTTCGTTTCTCTCTCTCTCTCTCTCTCTCTCTCTCTTTCTCTCTCGCTTTCTCTACCAGTTTTTTTTTTTGTTTTTTTTTTTTGTCCTTTCTGTCTATATAGATATAGGTACATCTACCGATATGCACAATCGGCCACTCAATATGAGTACCGTCTCTCCTCCTCGTCCTCTCCTCTACTCTCCTCTCCTCTCCTCTCCTCTCCTCTCCCCTCCTCTCCCCTCCCCTCCCCTTCTCTTCTCTCGTCTCCCCTCTCCTCCCCTCCCCTCCTCTCTTTTCCTCTCCTTTCCTCTTCTCTCCACTCCTCTCCTCTCCTTCCTTCCCCATATCGTATCATGTCTCCTCTGTTCCCTCTTCCTAGGTATCCTCTCCTCGCTCTGTTATTCTTCTCTCTCAATATATTTCAACTCCATTCCACTCCTTTCCTCTCCTTCCTTCCGTCTAACCGCACCACGACATTGATCAGGCTGCGCAGCTTCTCCCTTCCGCCCCATTCCTCTTCTGTCTATCCCCCGTGCAGAGAGAGAGAGAGAGAGAGAGATAGAGAAGGGTAGAGAGAGGTCGAGAGAGGTAGAGAGAGGTAGAGAGAGGTAGAAAGAGAGAGAGAGAGAGTGAGAGTGACCACCAGGCTGCGAACAATGGCCTTTACTTCTACAAGCAGGGGGGGCACGCTGCTCCGCTGGCGCTGGACGCAGTCATGGTGGCTTCCTTCCTCGGAGGACAAGGGAAGGATGATGAGACGGATGATAGGGAATAGTCTTATGATCATGACGCGGGTGGTGACGGACGGGAAAAAGTCCGTAGCTATCTGACTCAAACTGTATTGGCTCAAACTGCCACATAGCGATTACAATCTGAATACCTTATCGACTCATGCCGTAATACTCGCGTGAAAGAGTTGTCACACATGTGCTGTGCTTTCTGTGCGTATGCTTAATGTCGGCCGATATTCGTTTTGCCCCTGGGTGTAAACTAGGTGTCAATCGAGATCAGCTGTCTGCCACCTGGGTGCAAGCCTAGAGTCACACTACATTTGTTTTCTGCCACCTGGGTCCTCTAGCCGAGCCTCTCACGCGGATCGTGCGCGCACGGGGGCTTCATGCACACAATGCTAGCCAGCACCCTCATCCACATGGCCTTCATAGCGCCATCATATCTGGATCATGATCCACTCGATCACCGTCAGATCACCGCCGGTGCGGGCTGTGCACAGTACGTGTCGGGCACGGGTCGACATGCGGAGCCGGGCGTGTACGGTACGGGTCGTGCGTGATATACGGTTCAGGCACGGGTCGGATACGGCACTGTTCGGGTACGGAAATTGCCTCGCTCGCGCACCGCTGCCGTCTGCGTCTGAAGCTTACTGGAGAGCCTACAAGCGCGTTTTACCCACGATAGTGTCACCGCAGAGATTGGGGCTGGGGGGGGGAGGGTGGATGAGGAGGAGGGGTGTGAGGAGAGTGGAGAACGATAGAGGGGGAGGAAGGTCGAGGTGGATACGGTCGAGGAGGAGGAGGCGTGGATGATGAGAATGAGGATGAGGTTGATGAGCATCAGGATGATGATCAGCAGGACGATGCTGATAACGGTGATGATGCGGCTGCTGCTGATCATGATGATGATGATCATCACCATGATCATGATCATGATGATGCTGATTATGATGATGATGATGCTGATGATGAAACTGGTGATGCTGATGCTGATGATGATGGTGATACTGATGATGCTGCTGATTATGATGATGTTGATGCTGATGTTGACGATGCTGCTTCTGATTATGATGATGAGGATGATTATGATGCTTATGATGATGAGGACGATGCTGCTGATGCTGATGCTGATGATGCTGGTGATGATGGTGATGATGATGCTGATGCTGCTGCTGTTGATGATGCTGATGACGTGGTTGATGATGATGATGATGATGATGGTGATGAACATTATGCTGATGATGATGCTGATGCTAATGATGACGATGCTGATGACGATGATGATTATGCTGCTGATGATGACGATGATGATACTGATTATGCTGATGATGATCATGATGATGGTGCTGATGATGATGATGATGATGATGATGATGATGATGCTGATGCTGTTGCTGCTGTTGCTGCTGCTGCTGCTGATGATGATGATGATGATGATGATGATGATGATGATGATGAGGGGGAGCATGAGGAGGGGCGAGAAGTGGAGAGGGGAACGTCCGCCCTAGGTGGCAGCACCGCGGGTGCCGCGGCCGCTGACACCAACGTTGCCGCCGGGTGCGGCGTGGGAGCCATCGTGGGACAAGGGCGGTGTCGACGATGAGACCGTCGCGGTGGCTGGGGAATGAAAGCGGGATGGACGGAAGCGAGGAGGAAGGGATGTGGCGTGAAGGAGGAGGAGGAGAAGGAGGAGGAGGAGGAGGAAGAGGAGGAGAAGGAGGAGGATGTGGAGCGAAGACCCTAGCCATTTTGGCTAAAATCCGTATCCGAAGTCTCTGGGCCCAGACCTTTAGTTTTTTTGAGGGGGAACGGACTGGAACCGCTCTCAGGAGTATGATTTCTGGATGCGGTATTGAGGTTTCACCCTCGCTCATCCTTTGCGGGCGAGTTGCGACTTCTCGATGCCACGCTGGGGAATGCAGATCTTGCAGTGTGTGGAACAGCAGGTCCGGAACAGCAGGTCCTGGGCGAGGTGCTTCTCGTGTGGGGCCTGCAGCCCAGACGGACGGCAGCCGCAGCCAGGACGGGAAGTCCCAGTGCGGGGCCAGTGCCGGCATGGATCGCTCGCACCGCCCTGGACGGCCTTTCGGTTGCGTCTCCCGCGCAAGATCATCCATCACCCGTGGGTGGCTCAAGAACGAGTATCGCAGCAGCCAGCAGCCACAACCCCTTGAGGAACGAGCGCGCTAGATCACAGTGGATGAAACACTTTCAGCATCATGGCGGTACGGTTCAGCCAGAGCTTCCGGGGCAAGGTCCAGCACAGGCGCAGGCGGAAGACCGCTGGGCTTGGACAGGGCTCAGAAACTGAAGCGGTTCCCAAGCCAGTCCCAGCGCTGAAGAACAGGCTACTGTGCCCTCAGCGGAAGGAGGCGAGCACCGGCGCTGAGCCTCTGGAGCCGCAGCATGCGCCGGGCTCCAGGCGCAGGCGGCCTTGCCCAGGACGTCGGCATGGCTGCCGCGCCGGGCGGTGCTGATGCGGAGCAGCGGGCACGGAGCTTTGAGGCCAGATTGGCCTTCAGTAAGTCGGACCTGTCCCTCTACAGGGGGAATAGTCAATTAGCCTGGCGAAGGACCCAACCATATGCAGTTGTGAGTACCGCAGTTGTGAACATCGTCTTCGGTGGAGCTCCTTATGGGGCCACGAATTGTGTGAGGGGCCTGCCACAGTGGTGGTGGTGGTGGTGGTGGTGATGGGGAACTGCATGCGGGCACCCCCACTGGGGCCTTCGGTGGAGCTTGCTATGGGGCCACGAAGCGCTGCCCTGGGTGGGCGAACCGCATGCGGGCACCCCCACTGGGGCCTACGGTGGAGCTCCCTATGGGGCTACGAAACGCTGCCCTGGGTGCGGGAACCGCATGCGAACACCCCCACTGGGGCCTTCGGTGGAGCTCCCTATGGGGCCACGAAACGCTGCCCTGGGTGGGTGAACCGCATGCGAACACCCCCACTGGGGCCTTCGGTGGAGCTGTCTACCGGGCCACGAAACGCTGCCCTGGGTGAAGGAACCGCATGCGACCCCCCCACTTGGGCCATCGGCCGAGCTCCCTATGGGGCCACGAACCGCTGCCCTGGGTGGGGGACCCGCATGCGAACACCCCCACTGGGGCCTTCGGCGGGGCTCCCCATGGGGCTACGAAACGCTGCCCTGGGTGAAGGAACCGCATGCGAACATCCCCACTGGGGCCTTCGGTGGAGCTCCCTATGAAGTCACGAAACGTTGCCCTGGGTGGAGGAACCGCATGCGAACACCCCCACTGGGGCCTTCGGTGGAGCTCCCTATGGGGCCACGAAACGCTGCCCTGGGTGGGGGAACCGCATGCGAACATTCCCAGTGGGGCCTACGGTGGAGCTCCCTCTGGGGCCACGAAACGCTGCCCTGGGTGGGGGAACCGCATGCGAACACCCCCAGTGGGGCCTTCGGTGGAGCTCCCTATGGGGCCACGAAACGTGTGACAGGTGTGCCGAGAGCAAAGGCAAGGAGGGGGAGGAGGGAGGAGGGGAAGGAGGAGGGGAAGGAGGAGGGGGAGGAGGAAGGAAGGAAGGAAGGAGGAAGCAGGCGACGCGGGGCGCTGTCTGTTCAAAACGAGGACCCAACACCACAGGATGGTTGGGAAATGGTTAAAAATAGTTTGGGGACTATTTTTGTACAATGTTTGAACATGTTTTGAGCATTTTCTGTGCTATTTTTCATTTTTCGTTCAAAATCCGCCTGTCGGGGGACAGGCCCGACTTACGATTGGCCCGACCTCGACAGGCACGGCGCGAGGGCAACAGCCGGAGCCCTTGTTCGGTGTCCCTACCGGGGGCGTCGTGGCCTCTGGCCCCCCAGCAGCTTTGCCTCTCGCTGCCCCTCGCGTGTCCCGTGCCGATCTCCCTCCCCCTGCTGCCCCCCCCGCAGCCCGCACTCGTGGTCGCTGGAAGAGTGGAGGAGGAGGAGGAGGAGGAGGAGGAGGAGGAGGAGGAGGAGGAGGAGGAGGAGGAGGAGGAGGAGGAGGAGGAGGACGAGGAGGACGAGGAGAAGGAGCAGGAGGAGGCTCGCTCGCTCTGGGCTGCCGCTCGCTCCAGGCTTGCCCTGTTTCTCTTGAAGAGTCTTGCCTCTGGTGGCGTCGCTCTGTGCTGCTGCTCCCTATAGGACGGCCGCTTTCCCGCTCCGTGCTGCTGCTCGCTGCCGATGGCCTGTTGTCTGAAAGGCTGGTGCCTTCTGCCCTGCGGGTCTTCCCACGGCGCGCCTCGCGCTCTTCCCGGACTCCCGGACGGAGTCCGAGCAGATGGGGTCGGAGGATCGCGCCGCATCGCCGCTGCCTCGGCGGTGCGGCTCGATTTGGAGCCCGAGTTTTTCGAGGCCGACGTCGCCGATGCATCGGCGACGTCCCTGATGCATCTCCGACCCCATGCGTTAAGTCGGGCATGGCCCTCTACAGGAGGCATCTTCAAATAGTCAAAAATAGTCTGGGGATGATTTCCCGATTATTTTTGGACAAGGTTTGAGTATTTCGTTTGGAGTATTTTTGATTTGTCGTCCAACATCCGTCTGTAGGGGGGCTTGCCCGACCTAGCCCGTGTGCTCGGAGTCCATCTTGGAGGCCTTTAGCTTTGGGCCTCTGCTCGCCCTGCCTTGTCTCTCACCTCTGCCGCCCTCTCGCGGTGGGCGCACGCCCTGTCGTTGCGGCCGCGTTCCAGGGCGGGGCTTCTGGGTCGAGGCATGTCAACATTAAGTCGGGCTTGTCCCTCTACAGGAGGAACAATTCAAAGATTGTCAAGACATGGTCAGAGGACGATTTTTCTTAGTATTTTCATAATTTTGGAGGTCTGTTTTAACTGCTTCTAGATTTTTCGCCCAAAATCCCCCTGTAAGGGGACGGGCCCGACCTAATGCTAATGCTGAAGAGGCGCCAGGCTTTTGGACAGACGCGATGGAGGAACACGCTGACGGGCTCCCGCTTTGGGGCCGCACGGCTCTTGCTCGAGTGCGATCGTCACACGCGCGAGTGCAATTCCTGCCGACGCGCCCCGCATGCCCTCGACCGACTGGCGCTGCACCGTCGTGGAGGAGGAGCGAGTGTGTGCGCGTGCGCGGGTGCGGCCGCCTGGGGCTCCGCAACAGGAGAGGGGGGGCCAGGAGGCAAGGGGTAAAACAGGGCTAGGATCGGGATACATCGCCCCAGAGCGTTCCGGAGCGCTCTCGGAGCGTTCCGGAACGCTCTGGAGCGGCCGCGGCGCCCAACACGTCCTCCAAACCCGCCGATTCTCAGAGAATGCGAGCTATCCCGATCCGATTTTGTCCCGATCTTCGCGTCGTTTTGAAGGGGGGGGGGGGCTGGGAGCGAGAGTGGCAGCGGGATCCCGCTGCCGTCGTTTTAAGGGGGGGGGGGCTGGGAGGGAGCGCGGGCCGCCGCGGGAGTGCCCCTGAGAGGGGGTCCTCGGTGGCGCTTCGGCGCCGTGCGCCTCCGCCCTCGGCCGGCGTGCTGCGCCGCTCCCCGCCTGCCCCCCTCCTCCTCCTCCTCCTCCTCCCTCCTCCTCCTCCTCCTCCTCCTCCTCCTCCTCCTCCCTCCTCCTCTCCTCCTCCTCCTCCTCCCTCCTCCTCCTCCCCCTCCTCCTCCTCTTCCTCCTCCTCCTCCTCCTCCTCCTCCTCCTCTGCGTTTTGCGCTGCGCCCCATCCTGGGCCCCATCCTTGGGCCGCTGCAGGGGTTGCCGCGGAGCTGCCCAGACCCTGCACGGAGCGCGTGCGGCGCTCCCTGGTGCTCGGCCGCGTCTTTTCCTCTCGCCTGCGCTTTCCTCCCGTCCCAGTGGCTCTGGTGCGTTTTGGGGCTGGTTCTGCATCGCTCCACGTTGCACTCTGTGCTCCAGGCCTTCGCGCGTAGCTCACTGACGACAGTTGGTTTCATCGGCGTCGACAGTTAACCTGCGTTGCCGTCGTCCCGATATCACCACCGTGAAAAGCATCTTTGGCCCCTCGTCCAGCTCCTCATCCTTCCCCTTCCCACGACCCCAGAGACGCTCTCCCGAGGCGCCTGCTGCGTCGCGGTCGCCAGCGCCGCCCAGGACCGATTCGGGCGGCGTCGCGATGCGCAGGGGCGAGACCGTGAAGAGCAAGCCGGCTGGACTGACCAGGGCCAGGAGTTGGGGCCCAGTATGGGTACGATCGAAATGGGTACATTTAGATTGGGTGCGAAGACAGAGAGCAGCTCTTGCTCATTTCGACAAGGACTCGCAGTTGGTGTCGCCGCGGGCGTTGTCCATTGAGACAGATGGCCGCCTGTCCAACAGCCGCCGCTGTCGGCTTGGCATTGTACCCATTTCGGGCGTCCATACAGTTGATGGTGACATCGACCTACGGGGACACTCGGGGTCGGGGCTGGACTGGTATGAATCGTTCCAGAGCATGCTCTCAGAGCGTTCCTCTAGGCTTCCCAGATGGGGTCTGAGTAGATGGGGTCGGAGGATTCGATGAACCGCCGATGCTTCGGCGTTGCAGCGAGATCCTGCGACCCCACCTACTCCGACCCATCTCGGATGCCTCTAGTTCTGGAGCGCTCCTGAGCGTCGCCGGATGCGTCCGCCGGGTCCGCCGGATCTCAGGGATACCCGACTTGGCGCTCGTTTCGATTTGGTCCCCATCTTGGCTTCGTCTTAGACGCAGCGCCGATCTTCCCAAGCAGTCACCGCCGAGTCAACGTCAGGGCAATGGCACACTGCCATGACCCTGCCTCCACTACTACTGGGGGCAGGGTGGTTCTCAGAATGTGGTTGCCAGTCGAAGTGCAGAGAGGTTCGACCCTCTGCCGCACATCTGCTTCAAAAGTGCGGCGGCGGGCCCAGCCTTTCTGCGCTCTTCGTTCGCACCGAGATTCATTGGGCGGGCTGCTCGCCCCCTTGCAATCCGACCCCTCGTGCTCACCTTCCGCGCCTTCCTTCCCCACAGCCCTGGGCGATTGATATGGAAGGGAGGCTGTCACAGGGGGGCGGGTGTCGGCCGCGTCCGATGAATCAGGCAGTCCCCCTATTTGCGGTTTCCCTGTTTATGCGGGCCCGAAGGAGAAGCGCGGCAAAGAGGCTCTCCCTCGCCGTCAACGACGTATCGGATCGTCGGGGAATATCATTCCGCCCGCTAGTCCGATCATCCCTGCTCCCCCTTTCCCCCCTCCTTCGAGGGTGTCGGATGGTGGTGGTGGTGGTGGTGGTGGTGGTGGTGGTGGTGGTGGTGGTGGTGGTGGTGGTGGTGGTGAGGAGGAGGAGGAGGAGGAGGAGGAGGAGGAGGAGGAGTACAAATATTGCTTTGTAGCAGTGTTGTTGGTAGTGGTGGTAGTGATAACTGTAGTAGTGGTGGTGGTGGTGGTGGTGGTGGTATTGGTACTCAGCGGTCTGGTTTTGGCGCGTTTCTCTTGAATGCGTTTGTATTGACTCTGCCGCCGTGCAGACGGACCTGTTGGCAACGGACTCCTCACTGATACGTTTTCACCACGGGAGTCATTTCCCAAGCAATGCTTGCACTTAACGGGTTCTTATTGCGAAGGCCTTGCGGCAGGTGCCGCCGACCCTGAGGTCGGGGAGGAGGACGCGGAGCAAGGGGAGGAAGATGAGGAGGGGACAGGAGGAAGAGGTTGACGAGGAGGAGTAGGAGCACAGGGGGGGAATGAATTGGAGAAGAGTGAGGCGAGCAGGGTCGCTGTGAGGACTTGGGCTGGTGTGGCGGTCTGGCTGCTGTGTTGTCGCTTGCGGCGCCCTGTCCTCGCCTCGTCGCCGCCCGTCGTCTGGGCCGGTGTGGCGGGTTAGCGGCTACGTTGTCGCCGTCGCCGCCCCGTCGCCGCCTCGTCGCCGCCCCTCGCCGGGGCTGGTGTGGCGATCTGGCGGCTATGTTGCGCCGTCGCCGCCCCGTTGCCATCATGTCGCCGCCTCGTCGCCTTTCTAGTTTCTCCGATCAAAAAAAATGCAGACTCTACCCGCCCCACCCCCGGGATTATCTGTCCCCCTTTTCCTATTGCAATTTACATTTGGTTTTGCCACATCGTCCATCCTAAGTGTGAACTCGTACCATCCCAGCCCAACTGTATCGACCCCCCCTGCCATCCCCTTGCAACAATGTGACGAAGTGCACACGCGCGCGTCGTCGCGCGCGCATGCCGAAATCCTTCAAAACCCTTCGGTGTCGCAAGGGTTTCAAAATCGAACGTCGAAAAAGCATGGACAACACAGAGTTTCGCAACGCGGCTTTCCAACACAAGCTTGCGCGCGCGCTCCTGTGAATTCTTAAGAAACGTTGTTTTACAACATGCTGCCAAACGGGCTTCGCGCGCGCATGTCGAAATCGTTCGAGTGCCCGTGCGTGCGTGTCGTGGTGGCACGATCTGTGTCAAATAATACCATGCGGGCCAATCTCGCGCGTTTGCCGCGCGCATTTCGAACTCCTTCGAAAACCTTCATCACCGACGCGAAGACGCCGTCATCGTCGTCGGCGTGATCAGCATAGGCGCCGTCACTGGCTGTCCCGGCTTCGCTGTCAGCATCGTCGCCAGCATCGCTACTATCATCATCGTGTATACCGCTGTCGACGTTGCCATGATACCGCGCCCGCCCATGTCTCCAAGCGGGCACTGAAGTGCCCGCTTGGATGTGCCGAGCGGTCAGCGGTGCCGCGTTCGCGTCGGTCGCGCCAAACTAGCTGGCCGCTGCGCGCGCGAGCATGCGCGGGCTAGCGCGGCCGCAGAGATGCACTGGCCCACTCATCGCAATCGCTTCCGCATGGGTTTTGCAAACCGAATTGCGGGTGGGCGGGTGGGATGATTGCGCGAGCAGTGGAGTTGACATCTCTAAGTTCGGCGCGACATATTTTGCACCGGCCTTCCACCCCTAGCCCGAGGCCGGACCCATTAATTCCCCCCGGCGTTTTGCAATTTATTACATGTGATTTTGCGAATATTTGCGTCTATGCCATTCCAACCAAGCTGCCCCCCCAGCACTTTCGTAGCAGCGCGTTTTTATGCGCGCGCACTCGTTTATCGCAAATCCTCGGTTTGTAGAACTCCTTTGCCACAGACGAGACGAAGTGCGTCAGCGCGTCGTCGCGCGCGCATGCCGCGCGTGGTTTTCCAAAAAAAGTCCGCGCGCGCGCTCTTGCGAAACCTTGGGGGAAAGGCGGGGTCTCAAGATTTTTCCCATCGCATGCAGCCGCGCGGGCCTCTGGAGAGCGCGCGTTGAAATCATTCGCGCGCCCTTGCGCGCTTGCCGGGCTGGGGGGTGGGTGGAGGGGGGGGGGCGCGATCTCTGTCTAGTTGTGCCACGTGGGCCGCTTGCGCCCGTCGGCCACGCGCGCGCGTCCACATTGTTCAGAAACCTTGATCGCCGACGCGCGGGCGCCATTACCGTCATCGGCGCGATAAGCGTCGGCGCCGTCAGCGGCCGCGCCGTCGTCCTCGTCGTCGTCGTTGTCGCCAGCGTCGTCATTATCATCGTCGCGCCTGCCCATGTCGATGTCGACAAGATGCCGTGCCCGCCCGAGTCGCCGGCCCGCGCTACAGTGCCCCCGCGTCAGCGGGGCCTGCGAGAAGCGTTGGAAAGTGCCCGGCGGTCATCGCCATCGCGGCCGCGTCGGTCGCGCCAGACTACCTGGCCGGTCGGCGAGCGAGCCCGCGCGCGCTAGCGCGGCCGCAGCGACGCGCCAGCCGGCGCCAAGCAGTCATCGCAATCGCCGCCGCGTGTGTTTTTAACGCCAAGTTTCGGGCGGGCGGGTGGGATGATTGCGCGATCAGTGGAGTCGGCGGTTTCAAGTTCGGCAGGGTGAATCTCGCGCGATGTAGTGTTCTCATAGGGCGCGCACTTTTGACTGCACCGCGTACCTTGTGCCAAATATATTGCGCAACCTGTGTTGCTCAACCTGGGTTGCGCAACGTAGATGCTGCTTGCTGAAATCGTATCCTGATCTACCCCTCCTTTCGGACTTAGCCGCTTCCCTTTCCGCGTTGCAATTTGCGTGCGACTTTGCTTCATCGCCCACCCTAAATATGAGTTCATATCATCCCAGACAGGCGGGCAGCGGTTTTCCTTCTCATTCCTCGCCAAAAAGACGCGCGCGCATTCATGTATAAAATGTCGCAGGTTTCCAAGGGCCCCTCGCGCAAAGTAGGTCGAAGTTCGCCCGGGCGTCGTCGCGGGCGCATGCCGGGACCCTTCAAACGCTGTCGTTTGTTTCTCAAGTGTGTCAAACTCGAGCGCCGCGGAATCATGGATAAGCACGCGGTTTCGCAACGGGAAATATGAACATGTTTGCGCTCGCGCGCTTTTGTTGCGTTTTTGAAGCCATAGGTTCTCCATCATTCTCATCGAGTGCTGCCAAATTGGCTTCCTGCGCGCGCGTCGAAATTGTTCGAGCGCCTTTGCGCGCGTGCTGTGGCGGGAACCCCTTGCAACGTATGGGGCGAAGTGCACGCGCGCGCGTTGACGCGCGCGCGTGCGGCAATCTTCTGAAACTTTACAGGCTTCGCGCGGATTTCAACATCGAGCGCGTCGTCGGTAGCACATATTCGCGCGTGGTTTTGCCGAATCTGTTTCGCCCCAAAAGATGAAACGCTCGTTCGTGTGCGAACTGTCAAGAAGACCGTCGGGTTTCAATCTGCATTCAATTCGGCCGAGCGGGCCTTTCGCGTCGCATGTCGGCATCATTCGAGCGCCCGCGCGCGCATGCTTGGGGGGGGTGGGGCGCGATCAGCGTCGAGAGATGCCGCGCGGGCCACTCGCGCGTCAGCCGCGCGCGCGTCGAACTCGTTCCAAACCTTCATATCTGGCGCGAGGGTGCCATCGTCGTCGTCGGCGTGATCTGCATCGGCGCCGTCGCTGGCCGCGCCGTCGTCGTTGTCTCACTGTCGCCAGCTTCGCTGCTATCGTCGTCGTGTTTTCCGTTGGCAACGCGGCCATGGGACCGCGTCCTCCCGAGTGGCCGACTCGCGTTGAAGTGCCCGCTGGGAAGCGCCCTTCGGTCAGCGCCGCCGCGATCGCGTCGGCCGCGCCAAGCTAGCTGGCCGCTGCGCGCGCGAGCATGCGCGGGCAAGCGCGGTCGCAGATCTGCGCCAGCCAACGCCGGGCACTCATTGCAACCGCCAGTGCGTGTATTTTGCAAAACAAGCTGCGCGTGGGCGGGTGGGATTATTGCGCGAGCAGTGGGGTTGGCGCCTGCGGGTTCCGCGAGTGAGCTGCGCCTTATAGAGTGCGGCACTTATTGCCCCCGCGCAGGTGGCGCGACATATTCTGCACCGCGTCGGCAATGCCGCGTAGATTGCGTGTCGCAAAGCGCGCGGCGTAGCTTGCAGTGCAACCATCGCCGCGTTCCGTTGTCGACGTCTCCGCGGTGCCGTGCCCGCCCAAGTGGCCGACTCGGGCTGGGGCGCCCGCAGTGGAGTGCCCAGGGGCCAGCGCCGCCGCGGCCGCGCTTGTCGCGCCAAGCTAGCTGGCCGCTGCGCGAGCGAGCATGCGCGGGCAAGCGCGACCGCAGAGATGCGTTTCCCAACGCCGGGCAGTCCTCGCAATCTTAGCCGCATTGGTTTTTTTTGCCAACCAAGATGCGGGTGGGCGGGCGTGCGCCGCGTATATTCTTTTCCTATCTAAACGAGCATTAGGATGCACCACCCTCCACCCTGACTTCACGGCTCCTCTTCGCGCATTGCAATTTTCGCGCGAATCTGCCCCGTCGTTCATCCTGAAAACGAATTCGCAGCATGCCAGACGCGCCTCTCTTTTTCCCCCCAGAGATACGAATGGGGCGAAGTGCGCGCGCGCGTCGCCGCGCGCGCCGAAATTTTAAGCGCATTCAGTTTCGTCAGGGTGCATAGACCGAGTGCCTCGAACACGTGGAACACAAACCGTTCCGCGACAGGTTTCTTACCAAACAGCATGCGCCCGCGCCCTGGCGGATTCTTGAGAAATCCTAGGTTTTCCCACATCCGGGGTGGGTTCTTTGTTTTCTCTGCGCACCTCCGCGCAGGAACCTCGCACCTCGCCCTCTCTTGTCATTGCCATCTCGTCGTGGTCACCGATCATCATGACCACCCGTTCACTCGTTCGCTCGTTCACTCATCGCCCATTCATTCATTATCAT